TATGCTGATAATGAGGAAAACTGTCCTCTATATGCAGGTTAGGTATTCAGACTCCAGTGAGAAGTGAGTGTAGTAGGGCGGACTACTGTTCTTAACATGAAATACAATTAATCAATTTACAAAGTAATGAATGTTAGCATGGTTAATCCAGGACGTCAAGCTGTGATATTATGTTGTTAAAGATTATCATGCTTTCCCAAATGTCATGTATTATCTTGCACAACATAATACCACAATGAGTCAGAGGATTGACATACTGTACTGTACCAAGTATCTGACAGTTTATCCCGTATCATAGTGAAGCAACAGATTAAGGCCTTAGCCGACCAAACATTCTGGGAGAGACGAGTTCACTCAAGAGGCAAGCACAGATTATATCATAAACAAACCAATGAAATCAATAACTGGATGTGCATTTAGCAACATGGAAAAGATCCTATAGTGCGTGTAAGCCTCTTAACTGTGTAAGGTTCCACAAGGATTAATGCTCTGCTCATGTGTATGTCCATATTATCTATAGGCCACATCTGAGCACTTTAGTTAATAAATTGTATTTAAAGCTCCAGCTTCAGATCCAGTTCCCTAAACTACACAATCATCTGAACACGCTAGTATAGTTGAAGTCTTTGGGGCAGTATCAAGTCTTGGTCAACAGCGACATCTTGTGGCAGCCATTGGTTGGCTGTGGTGCCGATCAAACTGGTACAGACGTGAACCAGAAAAAAAAAAAAAAAAAAAAAAAAAGCATGTTTTTCAAGGTATTTTTGAGAGATATTTTTAATGGCATATTATGCAATATTCCAGCCAAAGCAATACCATATTCATGTAGACAGACAGATTGGGGATGATGGACCCTCTACCAGAAAAGCCACATAGATTTCAAATAACATAAACACATTGGCATGTATAAATGTATTTTTTTCTAGCTGTAAAGTTTTGATAGTCTAGTTTGAATATTCAGCCTAATTGGTTTATGTTTTGACTCTTTAAATCATCAATAATTAAATTATCAGTGTTGTTTAAACTTACTTGATTAGAGACTTAATCTGCAAATATGAACATTAAGACGTTTTACTTCTGCTTTACTAAATATTACCAGTAGATGTCTGTGTAATCCCTCACTCTTACAGGTAGGACCTATAGCAAAAGCAAAAAATTCAAGTCAAGTCAAAAGGACAAAGGTTCAGAGTTACCACTAGATGTCGTCCCATTTACACATCTAGGATTTAAACAGAAAAGGGACACAGTTGAAGACTTTAACCCTTTGAATGCAAATGCAATTCTGAAAATGCATACATTGGTGTAATATTTAGTTAACCAGCCCATAGGACACTATTTTTTGATATATATTCTTATGATGAGGAAACAACATCATATTTTTATATGTGATGTTGTTTCCTCATCACAAATTCTATATGTTGGGTTTTGTTTCATTCACACATGGTCAACACAAAAATCCTGTTTGAGTTCGTTCTCTCAAACAGAAAACACTTTGTACTACCTTGTGATGTCATGTCACAGTGATTCTTAAAATCATTGCACAAGGTAAAAGGTAGCTGTTGGCTTGAAAACTACATCATGACATCACAAGGTGGAATAGAGCATTTTGAGCTCTGGAAATAGACAGCCTAATAATAAAGGGTTGCAAACATGTGTGAATGAAACAAAACACAATGTAAGTTATGTTTTTAAGGTGGTAACAACATTTTAGTTTATGAACTGCAATCATGCTTTAATGATAACTCTATAGTTTCTGCAATAAATTTAAAACAAATAACAATGATAATGGTGAAGCACGGGGCAGAGGTAACTGTAAATAACCTTGGTACAATCCCTCAGTCATCCAATTGAATTTCTTCTTTTGCCTTGGTAAAAAGATAAAATAAACACACAAGGTGATGCAGATTATGTGCTTTTATCCAAATAATAATGCAATAAATGTCCATAGAAAAAAACAAAAAGATAGAATTGATGTTACACACTAAGGCCTTGTACTGCCTTGTTATTATGGCATAATTATTGACGTGAGGAGTGAAGATAGTACCAGTTCACAACAAGCTACGACTTGTCTCACTAAACTGGAGCTGGTAGTAATTTAATGGTCAAATGATTTTATTTGCCTCAGCTTAACTCAGAAGTATGCTTCAAAGATAAACAATGGGGCCAAACTGGTTTCAATAAATGCTTAAAATAAAAGGTTAAGGGCAATTAAGGGTAACATGCTGTGCAATGTGCATCAATGCAATATTACAGTTGTTGTCTGTATATAACTGAACATGACACGTCATTTCAGCAGTGGCAGTTTCTTAACATAATTCTTCTCATACATACAAACATTTAGGTTCTCAACAGTCCTGCATTACACAAAATTTACCTTTGTGTGCTTTGAGTCAGAATGTTTTTACCTCATCAAAAACAAACCTGGAGTTGTGTTTTGTTTCATTCACAGATGTTTGAGTGACCCTGGTTGAGTTAACAGCTACTTTTTACCTTTTGTTCATTAGAGAATGGCAAGCAGGGCTTAAGTTATCCAAATGATTCTTGTACAGATGTATGAAGTTTAAACAGTGGAGCACTTCTTGTATTACCACATGACATCACAAGGTGAAGAGTTTTCTGTTTGAGAGAAGAATTCAGGATTTGTGTGTTGAACATGTGTGAATGAAACAAAGAAACAAATGAAACACAGCTCTGTGTTTTTGATGAGGAAAGAACATTACAACATTTTATTGCAAGGATTTCATTAAATTAGTAATATTATCATTTGGGTACATTTTTGGTTAGTTTTGGTTTAAAGTGAACTTTTTTTTAAACTTTCTTTATTTTGTTAAATGCAGACAGCGATCTCAGATAATATGAATGGTGTTTGGCAAATGTTAAGACTGTATCAAATTCCATTACTTGATGTATTTTCATTGTCAGTATATTAGTAAGGGCTGAACTTTTGACATTAGACAGTCTTTATTGTTAGGCATATGAATCAGCAACTCCCTGATATCAGCGGTGTTCCTTTACTAACTGTGCCTGGAAGTGTTTGCATGATTTCTAATAAAGCTTTTATTCTGTGCACAAGGAAGCGTTCTGTTCTGCACGTGTGCAACCATGCTTTTTAGGTGTTCAGAAGTTCCTGCCTGTCTGTAAATGTAAACATTCTCACATTCCTGCTTCCTTCCTACTTTTCATATTTGATGACAGAAATGCAAAGACACCACATATGAGAGCTTTAAGTGTCATTCATAAGCTCATATTTGCATGTGCTCGTTTCTGCAAAATATAACATAACAACAGCGTGTCTCCTGGCAACAGTTTTAAAGTAACCCAATTTCCTTGTAAGTTTTTTTGGATGCTGGTCTACTAATGTTGGCTGTGTGTTCAATAAAGTTTGAATATGTAAAAGTTCTGTGTCCATTTGCAAAACTGGAGCAGGAAATTTTGGAGAGATTTTAATTATTTTCCAAAGCATTTCCTCAATTTCAGAGGTCAGTTTACCAAACATGCATTGACTATCAAATGCCTGGACAAATTTACAGCTGCAGTCAAATAAGATAAGGCAACTTTGTATGTGTGGATTAGATACCGTCTTACTAAGTATAGCCAGTATTTATTTATTTAATTACATTTTGTGTGAACTTCTTACCATTGCACAAAAATATTATTGTGAATAATATAATATATATAAATATAATAATAAAGCTAAAATAATATAAATAATTATAATAAATTCTAAATAAGTAACAAAAATAGCAAGAGACTGGTGTCAAATATGGCATAATTATACAAATTTATGTGTACAAGTACAAATAAGTATAGTACAGTAAATAAAGAAATACAGTAATATAAAATATATTTCGACTATATACAAGAGATGGAAGGAGAAACAGTGCAAAGATCAAGTAGTGATTGACATGACAGAGGGTTATCTATTATATAAGGGTGAGTTGTGGTTCAGTTTCAGTTGAGTATGGTATGAATATATTCCTGTATCGCTCAGTCTTTGAGTGGAGATGTTGGAGCCTGTTGGAGACTTCTAGGCAATTTGGGAGTAGTGCTTTGCTTAAGGACAGCAGTTTTTACCACTGGTGCCATAATGGCACAGTCCAAGTACTAACCAGACCCAGCCCTGTTTTTGAGACCTGATGACAAGGAGGTTTGACTGGTTTAGACCAATTCACTGACTTAATAAAATAAATAAATAAATACTGTATCTTTAGACATTTCCTATTCGCAGATTTCAAGAAGACTGATCTCTGGATTGATGAGGTCTTAATCTTTGGGTGTTCAACATTCTTGTGAAGGAAACAATAATTGTAAAAATTGTAAAATGTAAGTAGTAATGTAACTGTAAAAGTAGAGCATGAGTACAGACTCTACTTTTACAAGTTACTGGAGATCTTCTACCAGTCTGTGGTGGACAGTACTTTGTACTTGACTGGGGTCTGCTGGGGGAGCAGCACCAGTAAAAGGGACATTGGATGGATTAACAAACTGATCTGTAAAGCTGATTATGTGTTTGACTGTGAGATGAAGACATCCTGAAATATATTTGTATTACTATATTTCTCTATTTTATTTTCATTGTACACATACATTTATATGATTATGTCTTATTTGACACCAGTCTCATGCTATTTTTAGAATGTATTATTTAGAGTTTATATATCATTTATATTGTCTTTGTTATTACTGTGTGATGTGTGATCCTCTATGTCCAAATAATTTCTCTTGTGGATCAATAAAGTTTCTGTAAGTCTAAATCTAAAATAATCCACCATCACACCAATCATCAGTCAGTTGGTAAGTGATAGTCAACATGAATTTCTCGTTCCTGTAACACATATGCCCACGAGCCTCAGCTGAGCAATTTGCAGCTATCATATTCACTTTGACCTTTTGTTTATTGTTGATGAAACTAAAAATGACAGACAAAGTAATATTTAGCAGGTGGCATGAGACTAAAA